GGTCTCTGGAGCAGAGACACGGGGCCAGAGTTTGAGCTGATGCGCGGCGTATCGGACCGCAAACGGCCACAGGAAATGGGGAGCAGCCGCATGGATCATGGAGGTACGAGCAACCTCCATGATCAGGCCAATGCGACGCTCAGCGATCCCATTTTGCCGCGGAGAGGCCGGAAGCGTGAACGACTGGGCGATGCCCTCATCCTGGCAGAACGTCTCAAGGACGCCAGAAGAGAACTCACCACCCCTGTCAGAGTGCAGACGCAGGACTGGGAAGTCATGCTGAAAGCGCTCGTGTAGCTGGAGACGAGTAGCACGGATCCAGGGGATCAAAACACCGCTGACGTCCGCCTTGCGACGCAAGGGGAAGACTGTGGTGTAGCGTGTGTAGTCGTCAACAACCAGCAGGAAGTAGCGCTCCTGGTCCGTCCCACCGACGGGGGCCGGGCCCCACACGTCCAGGTGGAGAGTCTGCAGAGGAGCAGTGGTCGGGGGAAACTCGGAGGAGTGAGGAGCGGCGCGCTGCCGCCCCTCGACGCAAGGAAGGCACGGCGGCGCAAGTGAGCGCGGGAGGGGGGGCAGGGTCCCAGGGAGGCCAGAGACCAGGAGCCGGGAGTGCATGCCGCGCAGACGCTGCAGGGAGGGGTGACCAAGACGGTGGTGCCAGCGCTGAGTCTCGTGCGTGAGTACTCTGCACGAGCAAGACGCAGCTAACTGCCCTGACGCAGACGCTCGACTCGACGCAGCTACCTGACCTGACTCAGCCACCTGTGCAGACGCAGTGGTCAGTGTGTACAAACTAGACCCAGGTTGTCGAGTGAACGTAGCCAGGTGACAGCCAGTCCGGGAGCACGTACAGATCGCCACACGCTGCCCTCCAGGAATAAAGGTATCAACCCAGACATCCTGAATGGCAGCGTTGCTCACCAAGTTCGTCGAGAACGTGGGGAGGTGGAGACCTGACAAAGAGCCGGAGGGGACTGCTGGACAAGGGAGGACCGTGGAGGCTCTCGCAACCACTGGGCCCCCAGAGGGGTCAGCCAGTGAGACTGGGACAGGTGCTGTGAGTGGTGTGACTGTGGTGCAATCACGAAAGAAGCAACGTGACGCGCCTGAGTCAAGCGTGAAAGTGTGCAAGACCTCATCTGAGCCAGGACATGTGGTAGTAGACGCACTAGCACCTAGAGCGTCGGTAGACGCACGGGCACCTAGAGCTGCAGCAGACTCACTAGCACCTGGAGCGGCAGCAGACTCACTAGCACCTAGAGCAGCAGTCCTAACAGAACGATAACCTCCACCACCAGGACGACCTCGCTGAATAACCCACTCACCAAGCTGCCGAGGGGTGGGGTCGTCTGGGAGAAGCAGTGCCCGCTGCTATCCACCCCTGGCCGCAGCAACTGCCGCAGAAGTGGCCATGACAGACAGTGACGGTCAGGAGTAGGTCCAGCACCTCCAGCTCCTACAGCGCTAGCAGCACCTCCTGCACTCCCAGCAGCACCTCCACCACTCCCAGTAGCACGAGTAGCAGCAGCAGCAGTAGTAACAGCAGCAGGGCGGCGCGCGGCCACAGCAGGGCAGTAGTAGGCAGTAGCTCCTAGGGCAGAAGCACCTAGGGCCTTTTTTTTGTTTGTTTGTTTGTTTGTTTGTTTGTTTAATTTAAAATAAACAATTTAATTATATTTAGGGTATAGCAGGGCGCTGGCGCAGGGCAGGGCGCTGGCGCAGGGCAGGGCGCGGGCGCAGGGCAGGGCGCTGGCGCAGGGCAGGGCGCCAGTGCACGCAGGGCAGGGCGCTGGCGCAGGTTGCAGCAGTGCGTGACGCGAAAGGCTGCCTTAGGGCGCGACACGCGGGCTGCAGCAGAGCGCGACGCGCGAGGCAGCAGCGCGCGACTCGTGGGGCGGTGTGCGGGCTCCAGGGGCGACGCGCGGGCTGCAGGCGCCGCGCGGACGGGCTGCAGAGGCGACGCGCGGCTCGGCAGGTCCGCGCGCGAGCTGTAGGGGCGGCGCGAACGGGCCGCAGAGGCGGCGCGCGGGCTCCAGGGGCGACGCGCGGGCTGCAGGGGCGACGCGCGGCTCGGTAGGTCTGCGCGCGGGCTGCAGGGGCAGCGTGAACGGGCTGCAGGGGCAGCGTGAACGGGCTGCAGGGGCAGCGTGAACGGGCTGCAGGGGCAGCGTGAACGGGCTGCAGGAGCAGCGTGAACGGGCTGCAGGGGCAGCATGAACTGGCTGCAGGAGCAGCGTGAACGGGCTGCAGGAGCAGCGTGAACGGGCTGCAGGGGCGACGTACGGGCTGCAGGAGCGACGTACGGGCTGCAGGGGCAGCGCGCGGGCCACAGGGGCAGGCGCGGCTGCAGGGGCAGCACGGTAGCAGGGGCGAGCACGACTGCAGGGGCAGCACGGTCGTAGGGGCGAGCACGGCTGCAGGGGCAGCGCGGTCGCAGGGGCAGCGCACGGGCTGCAAGGGTCGCGACAGTAAGAGCTAGGGGCGCCAGCGCGCTGGCTACTGTGTAGGGCGTGGCGCTACCACTAGGCGGAACGGTGGGCAAGTAGGGGAATAGAACAGAAACATGTCAAGAATAGAACTAGGAATGAATGATTGAACTAGGCAAGAGGTGAGTACAAGTAGGGGAAACCTAACCCTAAAGTGTTGTACTCACTAAGGAGTGACCCTACTGTAGCCTAGAGATACAATTGTAATCTGACACCTCCGACCTCCGACTGAATCCGTGAACGTCACGCCACGGCAAGACGGACGGACGTGGCATGGCAAGTGTCCTAATCTCCGTGTCAGAAATAAGAAGTAGAAAGTTTAGAACAAGAAAGAGGGGTTTCACTAGCAGCAGTTGGGATACAAATAGCTAACCCTAACTGGGCTGTACTCGCTACAGAGCAACCCACTGCAGTCTAGATAATATAACATTCTGACACACCCCAATAGCCAAAGTGGGGTGTAATCAGCACAATGAGAAGGCATAGCAGTAGTTCACAATTATAAGCAAAGCTAGTGGTAGTCACAGCGGGCAAGTGAGGAGGAGGAGGGACTGTGAGAGGAGAGAAGATGGGAGACGACGGCTGAAGCTGCAGACACACGGGCAACAGGAGCAGCTGGCACAGTGGCTACCGGGACAGCGCCCCGGACTACTGGAGTAACTGGCTCGGCGGCTACGAGGAGCGGCAGGAGCAACGGACCCACGGGCGATAGGCGCAGCAGGCTCTCTGGGCTACCAGGACAGCGCCACGGACTACAGGTGCTGCGGACGACAAGACGGTAGCCTCCTCTCAGCCTCCCCAAACAGTCCCACCCCCCTGACACACACCCCCTGCAGAAACCCTAGCTTCACTTCCACGTCACCCCCCAAGCTCCACTCCCCGCGGATCCCACACCTCCACCCCCCTCAGCAGCAGCTGCAGCAGTGGGAGACGAACAAGGAGGAGGGGAACACCACACCCCCGTGCTTGCCACCCCACACCCCCCACCACCGTAGAACGGACGGCGGCACGGGAGGAATGGGCAGCACGGGGGGGGGGGGGGGGGGGGGGGGGGGGGACGGGACAGGAGGGGCCGTGCTCTCCTCCCCAGGGCGCCACGACGAGTGACGAGAGGGGGGGGACGCGCGGCCCCCCAGGGCGCCGCGACGGGCGACGGGAGGGGCGACGCGTGGCCCCCCAGGGCACCTCCACGAGTGACGGGAGGGGGGGGGACGCGCGGCCCCCCAGGGCGCCGCGACGGGCGACGGGAGGGGCGACGCGCGGCCCCCCAGGGCGCCGCGACGGGCGACGGGAGGGGGGGGGGGCGACGCGCTGGCCCCCAGGGCGCCGCGACGGGCGACGGGCTGGGCGATGCGCGGCCCCCCTGGGCGCCGCGACGGGCGACGGGATGGCGGGGGGGGGGCGCGTGCGGATCCCCCAGAGCCGCGCCGGGCGGCGGGATGGCGAAGGGGGGGCGCGCGCGGGTCCCCCAAGGCAGCGCGACGGACAGGGCAGGGGCTGCGCGCGGGTCCCCCACGGTAGGAAACCGCCGCGCGCCTCGGGGCGCACGGCGGGCAGAAAACCGCCGCGCGCCCCGAGCTCGCGGCGGGATGAAAAAAAAACGCCGCGCGCTCCGGGCGCGCGGCAGGAACAAAGGGTCACGCGCCCGGGGCACGCGACAGCAGTAGAGCAGCGGAAGCAGTTAGGTGGTGGGCCCACCCACAGGATCGACCCAAGGGGATCGACGTGCTCTGAAACCATGTCAGAAATAAGAAGTAGAAAGTTTAGAACAACAAAGAGGGGTTTCACTAGCAGCAGTTGGGATACAAATAGCTAACCCTAACTGGGCTGTACTCGCTACAGAGCACCCCATTGCAGGCTAGATAATATAACATTCTGACACTCCGGACATGGAAATACACCTGACCTGATTGCCTGGCAGGGTTTGCGATCGCACAGCCATATAAGTGGTGACTAAATTCGTACTCTCACCAATGGAAACACGAGTAACGAATGGACAGCGGTACACACTAAGCAGACGTATGGACGCCGTCGACCTAGGTTGGCATGGCATCACGGAATGCTATGGCATTACATGCCGTCTTTTAGATGGGACGGTTTAGGTAAGAAGAACCCAAGGTCCCAGACATTCGACTTTCGAAAAATAACAATTCGCAAGGTAAGGAATGGATGTGAACATTTTCTAACATTTTTTTCGATGCTCGAGGAGGTCTACAATAAGGCCTCGGTCATACGCGTTTACACCTGGCGACCCAGAGTGCAAAATCCGTGCTATCAATACCCTAATATGGCTATACATTGTAAATTCTGCATCGCTTCCTATTCAGCACAATGCTTGAGTAAAAAAGAATCACATTTGGCAGAAACAATGCAGAGGTTAACATATGACACTACTTGAGCTTGGCTTGGATGCTCGCCACGGAGCCTGTACGGTACCAAACAAACTTGGAGCAGCCATGCCTAGGAACTTAGGAAACTTTGGTGGAGCACCACCATTTGAAGCTGGTCCTTCTAGGTAGCCACCTTTATGCAGCTCACAACCTGAATCCGAAAGAACGAGGATAGCAAGACAAGAAAGGTAAGGTTTTCGCAGTGGCTGTTGTCCGTTCAACAAAAAAACATAAGGGAGCTACGGTAGGTGCTAAAAAATGAGGGAACAAACATGGGCAGCAATGGGCTTCCAAAGGCGCGGGATATATTAATAATGACCAGATCCCACCATGATTGTAAGATAGTTACACTCCATATGATTTTATTGTGCAATAAGCTCACCTGTATCAGTGTTTGGATCGCTTCTTGGCTTCACTATAAAGCACCACTCCACCAAAAGAGATGCCCGGATCCCACCATGTATATCATGAACAGTACAGATGATATCATATGTTTTTATGCGCTGTGCAATAAGCTCACCTGTGTCAGTGTTTGGCTCGCTTCTTCGCTTCACTATAGAGTATTACTCCACAAATAGTGATGCCGAATCCCACCATGCCCATAACCGTTACCCGGTTACGGAACACCAAGACTGAAATGATTGCTGCAACCACTCCCTTGGCATTACCCAAGACCTGCAAGGAACGAGATAGCAAGACAGCGGGGAGGGAGTGAAAACAAACATTGATTACACTCGTGAAAACAGTGTTACAGATGAAGAAAATTTTCACTAGTGGCAAACCCTCACTTGGTAATGCCCAATATCTGGGAATTGTCAGGGTAAATTTCCCTTCTCCAGTGTCCCATGGCAAATCATCCTCCCCCAGTTCCCCATGGCAAATGAACGTCCCAAGTTTCCCAAGAACTTCACAATCCCCAGTTCCCCAGGAAAATCCCCCCTCACAGGTTCCCCAGGCAAATCCCCCTCACAGGTTCCCTAGGCCAACCCCCCTCACAGGTTCCCCAGGCCAAACCCCCCTCACAGGTTCCCCAGGCCAATCCCCCTCACAGGTTCCCCAGGCCAAATCCCCCTCACAGGTTCCCCAGGCCACACCCCCCTCACAGGTTACCCAGGCCAAACCCCCCTCCCAAGTTCCCCAGAACAAAATTTCATAACGCAATCTCCCAGGCCTATCCCTTCGCATCCCATCCCAACCCATCTCCAACATCCCACCCCCAACATTCAAACCCCAATGTTACATACAGTCACAAACTGTCACGCACACCATACACTGTCACATACGCTCACATACTGTGCTGTACTGTCACACACTGTAATACTGTTGTATTCGCTGTCACATACTGTTACACCTTACACAATGTCCATACTGTCACAACCTGTCACATACTGTCACAACCTGTCACATACTGTCACAACCTGTCACATACTGTCACAACCTGTCACATACTGTCACAACCTGTCACCTACTGTCACAACCTGTCACATACTGTCACAACCTGTCACATACTGTCACAACCTGTCACATACTGTCATAAACTGTCACATACTGTTACACCTTACACAATGTCCATACTGTCACAACCTGTCACATACTGTCACAACCTGTCACATACTGTCACAACCTGTCACATACTGTCACAACCTGTCACATACTGTCACAACCTGTCACATACAGTCACAACCTATCACATACTATCACAACCTGTCACATACTGTCACAACCTGTCACATACTGTACTGTCACAACCTGTCACATACTGTCATAAACTGCATCATGCCATAAACCCCCAAGAAACCTTAATCCTTTTCCAATCCCCTCCGTCCTCGTCCGCCTAAATACCAACCCTTTCTTCCGCCTAAACCCCAGACCCATTCTTTGCATAAACCCCACCCCCCAAGTAGCATAAATCCCCAATCCCAGCTTTTGCAAAAAAACATAATCTCCCCTTTTAGAATAAACCCCGAACACCAAACCTTGACAAGTATAATAATGTTCTCATTGTCGCTTCCCCCTTCTTTGTCACAACTCCCCCTTTACTGTCACGGTTCTCCCTTTCCCCCTCTCACCTGCAGAGTAAGCGCGCTGGTGTGCTTGGTAACCAGAAAATTCGTCAAATTCGTGAAGTAGGCGTTTGCAGCATTCGCCACCAGGATTCAACACCCCCTACACCCCCCTGCCCGCTCCCCCATCCCCTCCCCTCTCTCACCTGAAGGGTAAGCGCGCTGGTGTGCTTGGTAACCAGAAAATTCGTCAGATTCGTGAAGTAGGCGAATGCAGCATTCGCCACCAGGTAAACCAGAATCCAAGGAGATTCCCTCGCCTTCGCCACCACCACCGCCAGCACATTCCCCTCTATAAACAGACTCGCTGGAAGCAGCATCACCACCGCGAGCGGCGACATATACAGCAGCAGGTTCATCGAGTGTAGTTTCTCACTATCACTCGTTAGAAGCAGCCCCTGTACAACGGATTTCAGCGCCCGAGCAGCAGTAGACGCGAAGCACATTATCACGCCGAGAAGGTGAAAGGAAGGTTCCGAGTTGCTGGCTATGACTATGCCCAGGACGACTGGAACGAGCGTGAGATAGGTGGTGGCTGCTTCGGTGCGAAAGGTAATGATGACGACGAATAGGGCGGTGAAGGCCGGAGTTGTGGCTCCGATTGCCTGGAGAAGAGGGAAGGGAAGCGAGGAGGAACACAGGGGAGGGACAGGGGAAAAGGGGTTTGGTATTGGTGAGGTAGGTGGTGGCTGCTTCGGTGCGAAAGGTGATGATGACGACGAATAGGGCGGTGAAGGCTGGAGTTGTGGCGCCGATGGCCTGGAAATGGGGGAGAGAGAGGGAGGGAAAGAAGGGAAAAGGTTCTGTTTGGGTGGGTACTGGTGGTGGGATACGTTTGGAAGGCGATGATGACGACGAATAGGGCGGTGAAGGCTGGGGTTGTGGCGCCGATGGCCTGGAAATGGGGGAGAGAGAGGGAGGGAAAGAAGGGAAAAGGTTCTGTTTGGTTGGGTACTGGTGGTGGGATACGTTTGGAAGGCGATGATGACAACGAATAGGGCGGTGAAGGCTGGGGTTGTGGCGCCGATGGCCTGGAAATGGGGAAGAGAGAGGGAGGGAAAGAAGGGAAAAGGTTCTGTTTGGTTGGGTACTGGTGGTGGGATACGTTTGGAAGGCGATGATGACGACGAATAGGGCGGTGAAGGCTGGAGTTGTGGCGCCGATGGCCTGGAAATGGGGGAGAGAGAGGGAGGGAAAGAAGGGAAAAGGTTCTGTTTGGTTGGGTACTGGTGGTGGGATACGTTTGGAAGGCGATGATGACGACGAATAGGGCGGTGAAGGCTGGAGTTGTGGCGCCGATGGCCTGGAAATGGGGGAGAGAGAGGGAGGGAAAGAAGGGAAAAGGTTCTGTTTGGTTGGGTACTGGTGGTGGGATACGTTTGGAAGGCGATGATGACGACGAATAGGGCGGTGAAGGCTGGAGTTGTGGCGCCGATGGCCTGGAAATGGGGGAGAGAGAGGGAGGGAAAGAAGGGAAAATGTTCTGTTTGGGTGGGTACTGGTGGTGGGATACGTTTGGAAGGCGATGATGACGACGAATAGGGCGGTGAAGGCTGGGGTTGTGGCGCCGATGGCCTGGAAATGGGGGAGAGAGAGGGAGGGAAAGAAGGGAAAAGGTTCTGTTTGGTTGGGTACTGGTGGTGGGATACGTTTGGAAGGCGATGATGACGACGAATAGGGCGGTGAAGGCTGGGGTTGTGGCGCCGATGGCCTGTAGAGGAAGGAAGGGAGGGAGAGAGTGAAGGGAGGGGAGGTGGGAGGGGGAGGGGTGGGGAGAAGGGAGAGAAAGTGAGTGGGGGGAGGGGGGAATCACAGCAGGGGTTCTGAGGGGGCGGGGGAGAGAGAGAGGAGGAAGGAGGAGGAGGAGGAGGAGGAGGAGGAGGAGGAGGAGGAGGAGGAGGAGGAGGAGGAGGAGGAGGAGGAGGAGGAAGGGAGGGGGAGGGGAGCGGAAGGGGAAAAAGGCTGGCAGGGGAAAAGGGGGTGACAAGGGAAAGATTTTGCTACGGGTCAGATAGGTGGTGTGTGATTGGAATGGTTGTGGGGTGGCATAGAGAGTGTATTGGTGGTGAGTGATTCGAACGGGTTAAGGGTAGGTGGTGAAGGGTTGCAGGAGAGAGGGTTTGGTACAAAACTGAAATATGCAAAAGGGGGTTCTTTTATCAAGGGCTGTTAGAACGACGCCCAATGCTACTGGAACGCATTTGTTGTTGCTTTTCGGTGGAAAGAGGAGAGAGAGGGCGTAGGTGAGTAAGGAGGGGAGGAGGAACGGGGGCAGGAGGGAGAGGGGACAGGGGAGAGAGCGAGAATGGAAATAGCGGACGATTACTGGATTACTGGAATAGCAAAGGCACCGGTATGGCGGCGTTGCAGACAGGGTTATTTGTTTTGCTTGATTTTGTTTCCTTTTTTCTTGTCCTTACTGTTTACTGTCAATCTTTTGCTACAGGTTGCAGACAACATGGCGGGGATATGTTACCCTGTTATCGCAGCTTACCTGGTAAAAGGAGGCTGGGAGGCACACCCTGGAATTAGTTAAGAACATACCGCCTTCCCTTGGTTGAAACGGCTTACCAGGTTGAACTGCTCACCTGGTTGAAACGGCTCACCTGGTTGAAAGTGTTCACTTGGTTGAAACTGCTCACCTGGTTGAAACGGCTCACCTGGTTGAAACTGCTCACCTGGTTGAAACGGCTCACCTGGTTGAAACGGCTCACCTGGTTGAAACTGCTTACCTGGTTGAAGGAGACGGGAATGTATCTGAGCGACATGTTCCCACAGACGACGGAGAAGCAGAAGATCGCGGAGAGCATGGCGATCTTGAGCATCTGACGTGGCGACGAGATGAACTGCATCGGGACAACCTCGAAGCGGTCTATAGCGACGTAACTAAAAGTGCAACACGCGCACATGTGGCAGAGCGTTAGAAACACCGGGTAACGGAACCCGTAACTCGATAGAAGAAACTTGTTTAGAAGCAACACGCCGATGTTGCTACAGTACCAGGAAAGCACGATCAGTGCGGTAGTAGCGCCGGGGGATAGTTGCGGCCATGAGCTACTAGCGGGGAGGCCTAAAGTGGGGATGGGTAAGGCGGAGGAGAGCTTATACGGGGAGCTCGGGGAATTTGGAACGCCGCCTCCGCCGCCGCCGCCGGCGGTGCTATTTAACGGTCGTTCTTCCTCCTTACTGCTCTCTTCTGAGTCTACTTGCGCCTCGGGATCTTCCTTCTCGTCGATTCGCCGATACGGCGCCGCAGCGCTCGGCATGGTGACCTAATTTAGTCTAGATCGTTCGCAACCTAATTTAGTCTGTTCTCTTATCAAAAGTCGACCGTATCGGCGCGGTGCGGGTTCTATTTTAGGAGCCAAACAACGACCTGAGAGGGAACGCTGATCTGCCGATTAAAGCCACGGCGATGAATCGTAGGCAGCGCGACGCGACTCCGAGCAATTTAGCTGGTATTCAACTACGAATGCGCGCTCCATCTGCTGATATGCGCTCTCTCCATGTAAGCGAAATCGACGGCGTGAAAAAATAATAGGATCCGACGGTGTCCTTTGAAGTGTTTGTTGGACGAGCAGGCTGCTGCTAATGGCCGTGAAGCAGAGTGTTGCCTTGTTGACGCACCTGAAAGAGGTAACGACGGGGATTTAGGGATTGCCGTGAGACACATTTCATCGTGTTTCAACGGCAGATCACTTGTGAAAATGCTTGTTTTACTCTGCTTTTTTTTTTCGTCATTTTGATACAACAAGCAGAACGGATCAAGGCGAAATGCGAACCTGAAATCAAGGCGGAAACCCAACCTGAAGCGCGTATATTCTTAAGTTGAATCAGAAGTCACCTCCTGGCAATGAAGCACGCTTGGCAGCGACGGAGTTAGCAAAGGTATCCCGTGCCGATTGCTAGATAGGAAAAAGCTTGGCGAACAATGCGGACTCAAGTGGGCTTCTGTCGTCACCTAAGGAGAAGCGACGCTGCAGAGAAAGAAGGCCTGATTCAAGCTTGCGAAAAGAGATCGAGGGAAATGGTTTCCGAATACAGGCGTAAGGAGGTGGTTGGTGCTGGTTATTCCTCAGCATTGGTCGAGAACGGTGATTATTCTCTACTGAAGTCCCTAGACCCTGCCTGAGGTAGGTGAAAAATACCTTGGAGATTGGTCGGTTGATGGTCGCTGGAGTGTAGTTTTGCAGGTATGTATTCATGGTTCAGCTTCACATCTTAGATGACCACTCTCGGTTACAATGGTTTATCCTAGGTGTTGCGGAATGTAAGGTGTTTTCAAGAATGGTATGTACATGTGCAGTTGTGTGAGGTGAAACGGGGGTGAAATCTAGGGCAGGTCCCAAGGTAGGGGGGAACCGAACCGGCGCACGCAGATTGGGGCGAGATGCAACCAAAGGCTGCTGCTGCAATCCCAGCCACCCACACTGAATGCGCTCGTTCGGAACGGGGGAATTGCAGGGGGCAGCGGCGGATGTCCCCGCGCAAAATGGATCAAGATGCGTTTCACATACAGTATGCTCTTCCTGCTGAGCTGCCTCGGGTACGGTTCACATCAGGTCAGGTCAGGTGCTCCGTTCCAGAAGCAGATGTCATGTCATGTCATGGTTGGCCCGCTGCGCGTAGGCGGCGCAAGTGGTTTGCAGCTTGCGCCACTCTCGGGCACGAATCGAGTGCGACGCGGGGTGACAGGAATTGCTGGTTGGTTGAAATGGTGGCAGATTCGATGCTGGGGCTTACGTGGCAGCCAGACACGAGGTTTACAACCTGGACCCACCAAACCGAGGTGAGCTACAAGGGCGCAGCCCGTGACGCCTGCGAGTCTCGCAATTCTTCGCTAATCGTCTCTTTGAACGACCGACATCCACTTTCGCGTATTACAGCGAACCAACCGAACGCTGCGCATCCAACACAGGTGGATCATAGTTACTGTACCACCAGAGTGGCAAACACAGTGGATGTCGCGGTTCGGTTTCGGCAATCTCTCCTACCCTGTCACTTCAGGAGTGACACGCCCGTGCCCAAATTATGCCGCGCCACGTGTGCTGACTTCGCTACAATGGCACCTGATCGCCATCACGTGGACTCACAGTGGTGTGTAACGGCCCGAGGATACACCTGAAACTATTCTGTCTGTGCACCTCCTCGCCCTACACAAATAAATAGTTGAAAATGCTCAACAGAACATGTAAAAACAACTCCAAGAAGATGTGGTCAATGGAAACTTGTGGCAGTGACCTGTGGCAGTGGCAAAAAAATAGTTTATATTTAGCCCGATGATATGGTTGTCATTGTAACGCAAAATTCGGTGGTGAAGCTTAGGAAAAATGTCGTGATTGAATCCCAACATAGCAACTTGTCTGGCTTGGCTTCCTATCCTCTACTAGTATTAAGAATCATCAAATTCACAGGTGGCGATGTATTTTCAGCAGACTCGATTGTGTCCACCCTCACTTGTCTCAACCATTATCTATCCCTACTGGTTTTGCAACGCCCCTCCCTCCGCTTCTTCCTCTCCTCTCGTTCTATCCTTCCGTCGGCGTCGCACGCATCGGGGCACGGGCCTCATGGCAGCGCGGGCATGCTTCCTCACCAGCTCAACCAGACAGCTCTACTGCTCTTGGCACACAACCCCCTCCCCTTCTCCCTCTCCTCTCTTCACAACCTTCCGTCGTCGCACGCATCGGAGCACGGGCCTCATGACAGCGCGGGCATGCTTCCTCACCAGCTCTTGGCAGTATCGCTGGCACCGTCACAGGAGCTACTGCTCTTGCCACACAACCCCCTCCACATCCGCAGTCTTCCTATCCTTGCGTCGCCGTCGCACGCATCGGGGCACGGGCCTCATGGCAGCACGGGAATGCTTCTCCTCTCCGCCCCCTCTGCTCATCAGCCATCCACCGCTCCCTCCACTACTCCCTCTTCTCTCTTCACAACCTCGCGTCGCCGCACACAACGTGGCACAGGTCTCATGGCAGCGCGGGCATGCTTCCTCACCAGCTATTGGCAGTATCGCTGGCACCGTCACAGCAGCTACTGCTCTTGGCACACAACCCCCTCCACATCCGCAGCCTTCACAACCTTCCGCCGCCGCCGCACACACCGAGGCACTGGTCCCATGGCAGCACCGGCATGCTTCCTCACCAGCTCTTGGCAGTATCGCTGGCACCGTCACAGGAGCTACTGCTCTTGCCACACAGCCCCCTCCACATCCGCAGCCTTCACAACCTTCCGCCGCCGCCGCACACACCGAGGCACTGGTCCCATGGCAGCACGGGCATGCTTCCTCACCAGCTCTTGGCAGTATCGCTGGCACCGTCACAGGAGCTACTGCTCTTGCCACACAACCCCTTCCACATCCGCAGTCTTCCTATGCTTGCGTCGTCGTCGCACGCATCGGGGCACGGGCCTCATGGCAGCGCGGGAATGCTTCTCCTCTCCGCCCCCTCTGCTCATCAGCCATCCACCGCTCCCTCCACTACTCCCTCTTCTCTCTTCACAACCTCGCGTCGCCGCACACAACGTGGCATGGGTCGCATGGCAGCGCGGGCATGCTTCCTCACCAGCTCAACACGCATCACTGGAGCTACTGGCACACACCCTCCTCCGCGTCTCCTTCTCCTCGCGTCACAACCTTGCGTCGCCGTCGCACACACCGTGGCACTGGTCTCATGGCAGCGCGGGCATGCTTCCTCACCAGCTCAGCCAGACAGCCTTGGCCCATCACACCAAGAGAAACCATCCTATCCCTAGGGTCGAGAGACATTATCAACTCTCGAGGGTCTGATGCATTTTTCGCCTGCCCCTGCTGATCCAGACAGCCTTGGCCCATCATACCAAGAGAAGTCATAATGTCTCTAGGGTCAAGGGACAGTAAGATCTCTCGAGGGTCTGAAGCCTCTTTCACCTCCTCCTGAAACCTTAAACCAACCTTTTGAACCTCCTCACAACCAGCCGTCTCCCCTCCCTGCAATCCCAGTTCCCCGTTCCCTTCAACCTCCTTCAATCCTCTCCGCCTCTTCGCCTCCCTTTCACTAAACATCATCTCCTGCTGTGCCCTCTTATTCTCCTTCTCCCCGCTGAACATCACCTCATCCTCTGCCCCCTCATTCTCCTTCTCACTATCCTTCACCTTGTCACGTGCCCCCTCATCCTCCTCCCTTTCCCTAGTCATCACTTCGTCCTCTGCCCCCTCATTCTCCTTCTTAGGAAATGTCGTCTCACGCCCGCCCCGCATTTGCTCCAAGGCCAGTCTCTCACTGCGAGTGGCAGGCACAGAGCGCAGCCACCACTGCAGCTCCTCCGTACTTGCACCCTGTACAATCACACCTGCTAAAGTCGCATCTGCACTCTGTACTGTCACACCTGCAACAGTCGCATCTGCTAAGGCTACACCTGCACTCCGTACTGTCATACGTGCTGGTGTTTGTGCTGTTTTTTCTGCTGGTGCTGCTGCGGGTGCTGCTGCTGGTGCTGCTATTGCTGGCGGCGCTGCTGCCTTTTCTGCTGCTTCTGCTGCTGCTGCTGCGAGTGATTCTGCTGATGCTGCTGCTGTTTCTGCTGGTGCTACTGCTGGTGCTTCTGATGGTGCTGCCGCTGGTGTTTCTGCTGGTGCTGCTGCTGCTGCTGCTGCTGCTGGCGTTTCTGGTGGTGCTAGTGCTGGTGTTTCTGCTGGTGGTGTTGCTGGTGTTTCTGCTGATGCAGCTGCTGGTTCGTCTGCTGGTGTTTCTGATGGTGTTGCTGCTGGTGTTTCTGCTGGTGCTGCTGCTGGCGTTTCTGGTGGTGTTTCTGATGGTGCTTCTGGTGGTGCTGCTGCCGCTGTTTCTGCTGGTGCTGCTGCTAGTTTTCCTGCCGTTTCTTCTGGTGGTGCTGCTGTTGTTGGCGGCGCTGCTGGTGGTGCTGCGGTTGCTGCTGTTTCTGCTACTACTATTGCTGTTGCAGCTTCTGCTGCTGCTGGTGGTGCTGATGCTGTTGGTACAGCTGGTGCTGCCGTCGGTACTAGTGCTGTCGTTGCTGCAGCAGCATCTGTCGTTCCTGCCACAGCTCCCGGCGACAAAACCACAGATTCTGCTGCTGTAGCGACTGAGTTTCCTGCAATGGCTACTGCTGGTGCTGCTGCTGCTACTACCGTTGTTGCCGTTGCTGCAGCAGCGTCTGCCATTCCTGCTGCATCTACTACAGCTGGTGCTGCTGTCGGTACTAGTGCAGTCGTTGCTGCAGCAGCATCTGCCATTCCTGCCACAGCTCTCGGTGACAAAACAACGATTTCTGCTTCTGCAGCAGCAGCTGCCATTTCTGCCACAGCCACTGCTGGTGCTGCTGGTGCTGGCGGCGCTGCTGCTGGTGCTGCTGCTGCTACCACCCCAGTTGCTGCTGCTGCTGCTGCTGCTGCTGCTGCTGCCACTGCAGTAGGTACTAATCCTGCTACTGGTGGTAGTGAAACCATCGCAGTTGGTGCTGATGCTTCTGCCACTGCAGCAGGTGCTATTCCCGCTATAGAGGCTGCATGCACCAGGAACCCATCCACCCCCACAACACCTATTCCTGGTGCTGCTGCTGCTACCATCCCAGTTGCTGCTGCTGCAGCATCTGCCATTCCTGCTGCTGCATCTAACACCGCTGCTGCTGCTGTAGCAGGTGCTATTCCCGCTATAGAGGCTGCATGCAACAGGAACCCATCCACCCCCACAATGCCGAGCCTCAGCAGGCGGTGGGAGGGGGAGGGGAGTGTTGGTGTGAGTGCCAACTGGCGAATGATCTGTTAAAGGAAGGGAAACAGGAAGGGAGAGTGAGGTTAGGCCGGGGAAATTGTCATTCCTTTTCCGCTATACAGGCTGCATGCACCAGGAACCCATCCACCCCCACAATGCCAAGCCTCAGCAGGCGGTGCGAGGGGGAGGGGAGCGTGGGTGTCAATGCCAACTGGCGAATGATCTGTTAAAGGAAGGGAAACAGGAAGGGAGAGTGAGGTTAGGCCGGGGAAATTGTCATTCCTTTTCCGCTATACAGGCTGCATGCACCAGGAACCCATCCACCCCCACAATGCCAAGCCTCAGCAGGCGGTGCGAGGGGGAGGGGAGCGTGGGTGTCAATGCCAACTGGCGAATGATCTGTTAAAGGAAGGGAAACAGGAAGGGAGAGTGAGGTTAGGCCGGGGAAATTGTCATTCCTTTTCCGCTATACAGGCTGCATGCACCAGGAACCCATCCACCCCCACAATGCCCAGCCTCAGCAGGCGGTGCGAGGGGGAGGGGAGCGTGGGTGTCAATGCAAGCTGACGAATGATCTGTTGTGGGGGAGGGAAGGGAAGGGGGGTTGTTATTGAAGCAGCGTGCACCAGGAACCCAGCCACCCCCACAACGCCCAGCCTCAGCAGGCGGTGCGAGGGGGAGGGAAGCGTTGGCGTGAGTGCGAGCTGCCGAATGATCTGTTGTGGGGAACAGGTGGGAGGGAAGGGAAGGGGGGGTGTTATCGAAGCAGCATGCACCAGGGAGGAACCCATCCACCCGCACAATGCCCAGCCTCAGCAGGCGGTGGGAAGGGGTGCTGTTTGTCTGCTTCACATTGGGAGTTTGCACCGAGAGCCCATCCATTCCCGCAAATGAAGCCGCATGCACTAGGAAGGAAAACAATAGAAACGACGATCTTGCAGGGTTTACTTGAAAAGAAACAGATAGAATTCTCTGCCTTGAAGGGCACACCGGAATGCTCCATGGACCAGGTGGTATCTGATCAGACGATTTTAAAACATGCACACGTGGCATACTCACATGGTATATCCACACTGGCATCGACACCTGGCACTGCGTCAGCCCGCCACGTGGCTCCCCCCTCTCCTCCTCCTCACTGCCACATGTGCTGCTGCCCTTTCGTCTGTCTTCCTCCAAAGAACCAGATGAGGTAGGCAAGGGTTGTGCGGTCCGCTCGAGAACAGCGGAAAGCAAGGAGGGGCGGACGTTATGAGGCGCCTCAGAAGCCCTTTTCCCCTCACTGCCACGTAAAGCAAGCAAGGGTTGTTGTGTGGTGCTCTGGAGAACAGCGGTTCGAGGCGCCTCAGAAGCCCTTTTCCCCTCACTGTCACGTAAAGCAAGCAAGGGTTGTGCGGTCCGCTCGAGAACAGCGGAATGCAAGGAGGGGCGAACGTGGAAAGGTTCGTCTGGGATCGTTTTTACACAGATGCTGCTCATGTGACAGATGCTGCTGCTGATGCTGGTAGTGGTGTTTCTGTTGCTCCTGTACTTGATCTGCCGGTTCATCTGCCTGTTCATCTGCCCGTTCATCTGCCCGTTCATCAGACTGTCTGTTGAGGGAAGGACTGCAGTGGTGGGGTTTAACGCAGCTGGTTCTGCTACAGGCACCTCTGCTACAGCCGCTGCCGCTACAGGTCCTCCTGCCACAGGCGTTGCTACAGCTGATGCTACAGGCACAGCTGCACACGTTGCTACAGGCACTGCAGCAACAGCTGCTGCTACAATTGCTATTGATGCTACAGGTGGTGATGTTGATGGTGATTCTGGAAGGGTGACAGCAGGAGGGGAGCAGAGGTGCAGCAGGTGCAGGCGCAGGGCTTTCACAAGGGGCTGATGGGGGGAATACGGGGGGGAGGAGGAAATGGGGGAAAACGGGTGGGGAGTTAGGGAAGGAGGAAAGGAAGGGAACAAGGAGGGAGAGCAGGAAGGTGGGGAGCAGAGGTGCAGCAGGTGCAGCAGAGCAGAGGGGGGAGGGTGAGGATGTGGGAGAGAGGACAGAGGTGGTTAGGGAGGAGATGAGGAGCAGAGGTGCAGCAGGTGCAGTCGCAGGGCCTTCACAAGGGGCTGAGAGGGGGGAAATGAAGGCCCTGACATCACAAGGGAAATGACAGTGAGGGGAAGGCGAGCACAAGAGGTGGTGCAGTGCAGACATCACAGCAAATAGAGCCTGCTGTGTTGTGCAAGGTGGAATGCGGTGAGGATGTTACATGTTGTACTACATGAGAACACAAGCTCACAACGTGTGACTGGAGAATGTCAGTTGAGCCGATGAGAGTGATTGGAAGGCGAGCTCAAGAGGTGGTGCAGACACCATAGCGGATGGAGCCTGCTGTGTTGTGGTGTGCACAACCCACACCTTACACTCACACTACACACGCAGCACAACCCACCCCAAGCTCACCACGTCTGACTGTAAGGTATCCGTTGGGCCGATGACAGTGAGAGGTAGGCGAGCACATGAGGTGACATCACAGCGGATGCCTTCTGTGTTTTGCAAGGTGGAGTGCGGTGCAGATGTTACTTACACCACATGAGAGTTGGGTCCCTCAGCTCACCACGTCTGACTGTAAGATATCCGATGGCCCGATGACAGTTAGAGGTAGGCGGGCGCATGAGGTGGTGCAGACGTCACAGCACAGCGGATGGGGGGCGTGCTTCGTCACTCCACACCTCATATGAGACCACAACTCATCCCAATACCCCAAGCTCACCACGTCTGAGTGGAGAATGTTCGATGTGCCGATGACAGTTAGGGGCAGGCGGGCCCATGAGGTGGTGCAGACACAGACATTACAGCGGAAAGAGCCTGCTATGTTGTGCAAGACTCATACAAAGTGGTGCAGTGTAGTGCAGTGCGGTGCAGATGTCACACTACACACCACCCCCAGCTCACCACGTCTGACTGGAGAACATCAGTTGGGCCGATGACAGTCAAAGGCAGGCGAGCGCATGAGGTGGTGCAGACGTCACAGCGGATGGAGCCTGCACTTTGATACGCTGGAGGGTGCATGGCCTGGGGGAGGGGCGACCTAAAGAAGGTAGAACCGGGGATGGAAGGGGCGGCCGGGTGGGAGGGAGGGAAGGAGAGAGCGAGAGAGGGGGCATGAGGTGGTGCAGACGTCACAGCGGTGAACAGAACCTGCTGTGTGATATGCTGGCGGGTGCATGGCCTGGGGGAGGGGGGATCTGGGGAAGGATAGAACCGGGGATGGAAGAGGCAGCCGGGTAAGAGGGAGGGAGAGGGAGTGGAAGCATACGTTAGAGCGGATAGAGCCTGCACTCTAAAATGCCGGAGGGTGCATGGACTGGGGGAGGGGGGATCTGGGGAAGGATAGAACCAGGGATGGAAGAGGCAGCCGGGTAAGAGGGAGGGAAGGAGAGAGCGAGAGAGGGGGCATGAGGTGGTGCAGACGTCAAGGAACCGCACAGGCAGAGCGGCCTGAAGGTGGAACCGGGGATGGAAGAGGCAGGCGGGTAAGAGGGAGGGAGAGGGAGTGGAAGCATGACTTGCAGACGTCAGAGCGGATAGAGCCTGCACTCTGATAGGCCGGAGGGTGCATGGACTGGGGGAGGGGGGATCTGGGGAGCCCTCAGCACAGCACAGCACCGCACAGCACCATACAGCAAGTACCGAACCGTGTATCAGCCAAAAAAGGACGGCACAGAACCACACAGCCTACACAGTACAGCACCGTGCAGCACTGCACAGCACAGCACAGCACAGCACAGCACAGCACAGCACAGCACAGAACCGCACAGCACAGCACAGCACACACTCACCCGAGCTTGTGCACGATTCGAAGGCCTCGAATCTGGGAAAGGAAAGAGGGGCATGAGGGAAAGCGGCACGGGGCAGCAACAGACAGCATAGGTGTCAGAAAAAGGAAAGCAGTAAGCGTGTGCCATGCTGCCACGTGTCTGCTTGCAACGAACAGAGAAATCACTTGCGACAAACTGCACTTTCTCTCTCACCTCTACAACTGCACGAGAGACAGCAGGCCATGGGCAATAGTGGCAGGCAGGTAGCGAGCATGTGTGCGTGATGTGGTGCGACACCTTGGGAGCACAGTGGCAGCATTCACTCACTCACTCACTCACTCACTCACTCACTCACACTCACTCACTCACACTCACACTCACTCACTCACTCACTCACTCACTCACACTCACTCACTCACCTCGAACTGCACCAGCGACAAAAGGCCATGGGCAATAGTGGCGGCATCAGTGGGGCCCTGCGTAAGGGGAAGTGAGAGGGGGGTAAGCGAACAAGCCGGCAAAGAATGAATGGGGGGAAAAAAACAAGAAAGACAGAAAGAAAAACTGCTATGTAACTTATGCCATGCTTACGTAACTCACCAGCATAAGTAACCTGGCAGTCTTCATTTCAGACACCACCAGCAGCGTTTCAGGTGAAATCTCAGGTGAAACAACAGTGGCAGGTGAAACAGCAGTGGCAGAAGCCGCAACATAACCGCCAACAGCAGTGGTGGCAGCAACAACAGGAGGACGAGGAGGAGGAAAGGCAGCAGCGGCAGCAGCACAAGTGCCAGCAGCAGCAAGAGGAGCAGCACCAGCAGCAGAATCAGCAGCAGCAGCAGCAGTAGCAGCAGCATTCCCTCGCTGAAACCCATTGCAGGCGGTTGGGAGAGGAAGAGAAGCGGCAGGAAGCGCAGTAGGGTGCGTTGCTGCAGTTGCTGCAGCCATGAGAGGATTGTGAGGGTTATGAGACGGTTCAGAGGTTTGGTGAGCAGAGGGGAGCATGGGAGGGAGGGTTGCAGGTCGAGGGGGAGGGAGAGAAGATGGGCGGTTGAGAGGAGGCGCGGGAGAGAGGGACGAAAGGAGAGGCGGTCTAAATGCGGTGGAGATGGGTGGAAGTGGGTGGAGTTGGGTGGAGAGCGGGAGAGAGAGCAGAGGGAAGCGGAAGCCTCCTAGTGCCCTGCCTGCTTGCTGCTGCTGCTGCTGCTGCTGTGGCTCTTGGCTGAATCTGAATGAACCTGGCACTTGGCCCAAATGGCCCACCCTTCCATGCAAACTACCACTATCAGCACTACCAGCACTGCCAACAGCGGCACTAGCAGCAGCAGCAGCGATACCAACGGCATTAGAAGAACCACCCACAACACCAGCAGCACCAGCAGCAGTGGCACCAGCAGCAGCGGCGCCAGAAGCTTTGCCCACTGCCCCCGTCCTTCCACCCCTCATTCTCTTCCCCACCCTCCTCCCCTCCCCATCCTCCCCTCCTCTCCCTCTTTTCCCTCCCTCCTCAACTCCTCCCCTTCCCTTCCCCGCCTTCCCCCCATCCTTCCGCCCATCCTTCCCCCCGTCCTTTCCCCCATGCTTCCCCCCAGCGGACTTACTAGCAGCACTGCGCCATCCGCGCCCCACAAACCCCCACACGTACGAATCATCATCTCCCCCTAGCCCCCTCTTCCTCTTCTGCCTTTGCGGTCGGGTTCTCCTTCCTTCCTCTGCTCCCCCTCCGACCCCCTCTCCTCCCTCCGCTTCCCCTCCTCCCCCCTCTCCTACCTCCGCTTCCCCTCCTCCCCCCTCTCCTTCCCCACCTCCCTGTTCCATTCCCTCTGTTCCCTCCCCTCCTTCATCTGCTCCCTCTGCTCCTCCCTCTGCTCCCTCTCCTGTCTCTCCTCCCTCTCCTCCCTCTGCTCCGTCTCCTCCATCTCCTCCCTCTCCTCCTCCATCTGCTTCCTCTCCTCCTCCATCTGCTTCCTCTGCTCCTCCCTCTGCTCCCTCTCCTGTCTCTCCTCCCTCTCCTCCCTCTGCTCCGTCTCCTCCATCTCCTCCCTCTCCTCCTCCATCTGCTCCCTCTCCTCCTCCATCTGCTTCCTCTCCTCCTCCATCTGCTTCCTCTGCTCCTCCGTCTGCTCCCTCTCCTCTTCCATCTGCTCCCTCTGCTTCCTTTTCTTTCCCCCCACCACTTTCTTTCCTTTCCTCTGCACCCTCCTCCCCTTTAACCGCCCGCACTTCCTCCTCTTCTGCTCCCTCTCCCTCTAATTCGTCCAGTCTCCCCCCTCCGCCTGCTCCCCCCTGCTCCTCTCCCGCTCCCTTTTTCTCCTCTTTCGCCAACCCTTCCCCTTCTTCAAACCCTGCTCCTTCTCCTCCCCCCTCGCTAGTTGCTTTCTCCTCCTCTGCCTCCTCTGCCCCTCCAACTTCTTCGCCCCCTGCTTCCTCTCCTCCCCCATCGCGTGCATTTCCCCCAGCAATGACACTCACACTCGCACCCACACTCGCACTCGCACTCGCACTCACACCCACACTCATGCCCATGCCTCTGCACCTCGCAGCAGTTGCTGATTCGACCAACGTTGTAGCAGCAACATTCCCACTCACACCTGTAACAGCGACCTCTGTACCCTTTATTGCACGATTCTCTGTACCCTTCATTGCACCACCCTTTCTTTCCTCCTCTTTCTCCTCCTTCCCGCGTATTCCCGCATTAAGCTCCTCCCTTTCCTCCTCTTCCTCCTCCCCTGTCTCCTCTTCCTCCTTCCTCTCCTCCTCAGACTCGCCATTTTGCTCCGTACAGATTGTCCCATCCACGTCAGCACTAGCGTCTATAGCAACTGTAGCGGCTGTAGCGGCTGTAGCGGCTGTCGCGGCTGTAGCAACTGTAGCGGCTGTAGCGACTGTAGCCGCTGTAGCAAGATCGCCACCAGACCTTCCACTGCTCGCCCGCCTCAACCCGCACCGCCGAGCCTTACTCCCAAACCTCAGGTCCGGAGCCTCCCGAGCCTCCGCTAGGGTTTCGCGGTCAGGTTCGGGTGTGTGCGACGGCGGAAGTGTACCCAAGTCTGTTGTCTCCCCTGATGCCAACCCACCCATGACTCCTGATTTTAACGGCGACCCTTCAGATGGGTGAAACGCCGGGGACAAACCACCCACGACGCTTATTTTCGGAGGTGACCTTTGAGTTGACTGAGGATTTCCACTGGCAGAACCAGATTCCGTTTCTATTGTTTGATTTCCGTCAGAAACAGAAGCGGTACCGTCGGTTACCGTCTGTAACGCGTTTCCTGCCGCTCCTGGCGCTGACACTTCAACTAACTGCGAATTGGATGTCGCTGTTTCCCTTGCTTCTGTTGCTCCTGCTACTTTTGCCGGAATTTTCTTTGCGGCCTCGGGCATAGGGTCGTGTTCAGACTCCATAGACGCAATTAGGTATGCGCGGGCGCAGCCGCAGACTAGAAACTAGGTATTGAGCGACTAGAGAAAGAGTTGCACAGAGGGATCAGGAGGTCCAGTGTTCATCCAAACGCGACGACGAACACATACATATTCGGAAGGCATTTGAATATCTCTTCCACCCACCGTGGATGTTCACCGTTGCAGAATCCGACCCTTGAAATTGCCGAAGCAATTGTGCTAGGTGAAATCAAGGAACGACGGTTTACAAAGTTCTCCGTCAAAACATTGTAGCTTCGCTGATTTATGAATTCAACATCTCTGTATACATATTGTATAAGCATTGTAATCGACCCGCCACATCAGCCTACTTTCGCCAGACTTTCGCTAGGCTCGCGTTGTATACGACTGTCGCCAGGGGCCAACTAGCTGGGAGCACGTTCCGGAGCCGCCACCGATCTCCGCCGTCGCGACCGTTCTGACGATATTGATTGGTTGATTCTCCCCTGAAAGCTGATCTGAACTTCAATGCGCGTTTTAATTCAGTAAGTGCCCCTAAAACTGCTTTGATTTGTCTTAAACATCAATATCTGATGTAGTTTCAGGCTATAATTGTGTAACATGGAGACGTTTAGCCGAAATAGCGATTTTGGATCGGCTGGTTCAGCCCTCTCTATATACGGGTTACCACTCTTCAGTTCAACCCCATCTCTCCCGCCATAGCAACGGCTAAAGCGGTGCGGACAAGAATATCCTCCTCTTACCCAAAAGTTCACCAGGTCGAACCCTTCCCAACCGAACTTCAACTCTAAAAGTTCCTTTATTTCTGCTCTGATAACCTCTCTACTCCCCTCGTGTCCCCAGTCAAACATCACCGCAACATTCCACCTGAAATTTTCCTGAACAAAGTCGGCCTTTCCGTTCACTTCCTCTCAACTCTCTTTCTACTCCTCCCTCCTCCCCACTTGTTGCTCCTCGTTTCCGTCTGCCTTTCGCTTCCCCTTCTCCCACACTTGCACCTCCTGGCAAGCTTCGCGCCTTTTTTCTTTCCAGCTTTTCCCTTCTCTGCTTCCTTCGGTCTACCCCTCACCACGCAACTCCACCGAAACCCACCGCGACTCGCCCTCCCTCTCTATCAATTAATCAGACTCTCTCTCAGCTTTCAACCCCAAGCGTCCACATTTTCCTGCTTGGTTAGCAAGCATCTGTTTGTTTGTGACATCTCTATCCGCGCATCGAGTCGCTACTCCCTATCTTTCTCTCTCTCGGCTCCGTCGGGCTTTAGCGCAGCCTTACCCTCGCCGCTTTCGGCATGCTCAGCCTTACCCATTCCTTCCTCCTCTGACTCGCTCATAGCTTCACTGCTACTCGTAGTCACCCAAGGCAGTGATAGCTTGGGGTTGACAAGAAGGAGGACAGTTACCAGTTAGCTTGTTTTTATTTGAATAGCCGAGTCGACGACAGACAAGCAGAGGACGGAAACGTAGACGTGTCGCCGATAGTTGGGGTACATACATATCTAACTATGAAACATCCACTAAGGATATCCAGCCGAAACCTGCACCTCGTTAGTAGCAGAAATAAATCACAGTTGACCTCGAAAATGGATGTCAGAAGAGAATAGCCGACGGAGACCGCAACTACAGAAGCGAACGTCCCGTTATGTGGAACTCAAACGAGACTATAACGGGGATGACGTCGAGCACGCCTAGGCGAGGAAGAAAGCGGCAGATAGAAGCAGGAGAGGGTGACCTTATGGACTTCATACCGGACGCCTCTATATCGGAGCTAAAGCCGACGGAAAAGTCGAAAGGAGCAGAATCGTTTTTGGTTTTGGAGCTGGAACGAAGGGTGACCAGCCATGCCGTTTCTAGAAGCCACGTGGCTTTACGAGAACACGTGGCGTGTAAAGACCACGTGGATGTTCGACCAGACGGGGCGTGTGGAGGCCACGTAGGCGTTGTTCAATCAGACGCCGCGTCTCTGCTGTCTTCCGCGGCGGTTCGTCGGACTGCGCCGGCGGCGCAAGCAGGAAGTGCATCGGCGGAAGAGGAAGGGAGACTTTCAATGGGCGGATGGCGGAGGGGTATGGCGGAAGCAGGAAGTGCGTCGGCGGGCGGTGCAAGCACACTGGCGGAAGCGGTTGGCGGAGATTTCGTGCGGGACGGACCTGTAGGGATGACTTGGCGGAAAGGAGGCGGGCAGGGGGAAACTGCAGCGAAGGGAAAAGGAGGAGAAGAAAAACATTTGTCTGGCTGTAATGAGGCGGAGCAGCACGAAAACAACTCGTTATTAGACCACCCGCTTCGTTGTATAGAACGGGATAGTGATTCAGTAGTATTAGCACAGGAAGAAAAGAATCGCTTTTCATGTTTCAATAGACGATGGAGATGTGGGTACTGTAACTCAAGTACAGTGAGTCAATGTAGATACTGTAGCTCGCAGTCGAATGGCCTCAACGGGGAACTTTCGTTGAACTGTAGCTCCCACTCGAGTAGTGACAGTAGCGGCTGTAGCGGGGGGATTTGTAGCGGGTGTAGTGGCAGCAGTTGCGGTTGTAGCAGAGTGGGCACAGAATGCAACAGCGGCTGTAGCAGAGACGTCACAGGGTGCAGCAGCGGCTGTAGCGTGGGTCATTGTATCCGCTGTAAAAGCAGCAGTTGCGGCTGTGGCAGTGGCAGTTGTAGCAGAGACGTCACAGAATGCAGCAGCGGCTGTAGCGTGGGGCATTGTAGCTGTCGTTGCAGCTGCAGTTACAGGTCCAGCCCCACCGTAAACAGTTGTAGTAACTGCAGTTGTAACGGCACATGTAACGGCGCATGTAACGGCATCAGTTACTACAACAACAGCAGACGTAACAGTAAAGCCGGATCGTGTTATCACAGTTGTTGCACGAGAAGAGAGTTACGAGGTGTACAGACGGGTGGCAGTGATGGCTGTAGCAGGGGCTGTAGCAACGACTGTAGCAGTTGTCGCACGAGAAGAGAGTTACGAGGTGTACAGACGGGTAACCACTGGAGGAGTGGCAGTGGCGGCTGTAGCAGGCGCAGCGGTTTTAGCAGTGGCTGTAGCAGTGGCTGTAGCAGCGGGGGCAGCAGTGGCTGTAGCAGCAGTCACGGGAAAGGGGTCGATACGAGCTCACGGCATCCTAGTTGTAACGGTTTCAGAAGAAGAGGGTTACCTGGTAACCATAAGGGTAACTCGAGGGGTAACCAGGAGGGTAATTATCCAAAGGACAGGAACACACGTGGCAGAAGCAACGAGGCAGGGAGGAAAAGGAGACCCCTATACGGGAGAAGCGCCATTTTTATTAGTATTACCAATCTCCTACCGTTCCTCCTCCTCTTACTCAGTTCGTTACCCACTTCCCCTGTGACACACGCGGAATCATCCACTCACTCCCTCACTCACTCCCTCGTTGACTCCCGCACTCACTCCCTCACTCACTCTTACCACACGCATCCTCCTCCTCGTTACCACCCACCCTCAGGACCCCTTAGAGTGCACCGGCCGGTTGTTGCAGTAGCAGTAAGCAAAGCAGGAACGGCAGCAGCAGAAGGAGAAGGGGTTGGAGCAGGGGCTAGAAGCGTTAACATGCACTTTTATCCTCCTTGGCTGTTGCCTGTCTCTGATTCTTCAACTGCCTCTGCCCTCACCAGCAGCACCACCAGTAGCACCACCACCAGCAGTACCAGCAGCAACCCCATCAGCCCCAGCAGAACCGTCAGCAGCAGCACCAGCACCACCTCTGTCCCACACACCATGCATCATGCCACGGAATCAAGCCTACTTGTTGCTGTACCGAATCAGCATCTAGGCTTGGTCGTGTCACCAGGTTCGGCAGCACCGTCAGGCTCGGAAACAGTACTGGAGTCAGTACTACCTCACCTGCACCGGTTTCCAAGTTCAGTGTATCTGGCCACACGTCCTTTCCACCCTCACTTTAACGGAATGGCGTTGAGGGGAACCGAGATTGCCAGCAACCACATGGATCTCGGAGCGGAGGGTGCGACAAGCCAAGGTCCAAGTTCAGTGTATCTGGCCAAACGCCCCTTCCACCCCCATGCTAACGGCCTTATAACGAGTACTGACTCCAACACGAGGAGTGACATGAGAAAGGGTGGTGGCACTGCGAGTGCTGCTAGTCAGCAGGGGATAGACGGCAGGAGGGAGGAGACTGTGGGTGGGGCAGGTGGGACAGGGGCGGGAGAATCAACTGGGAGTGACAATAACAGTGGCAGCAGCACTGGCAGCAGCAGCAG